CAATAACTGCGGGTCCCAAGGAGTTTTTTTTTTTTTAAGAATTATTTTATTTAACTTTATTTATTTATTTCTTTTTTAATTTGACAGAGAGGGACAGAGTAAGATAGAGAGAGAGGGGGAAAGTAAAAAAGCAGGTCACCAGGTTTGGGACTTGAATTGTGGTCAGCCATGTGGGAGTCCAGTGCCCTTAACCACCACACCACCTGCCAGGCCCTTGTTTTGTTTTTTAAAAAGGAGGGGAAGAAGAAGAATATGTTTAATTGACACAAAAATGAGAAGGTTATTGCTGATTATAATGGTAATGTCTTTGTCTTGACTGATATGCATTGTATCCGTGCTAGGAAAAGCCATGTTGTACACTGTAAAGATACACAGTGGTTGGGACCAGCAGATGGAGTAATGGTTACATAGCTGGACTCCCATGTAGTCAAACTGCAGTTTGAGTCTTGGACCTAGTGGCTTAAAACTCATACTGGGTACGTGTGTATGCATGCCCAAAATCCAGAGAGGAGAATGGAAGAGAAGGGATTCCATTCCCCCTGGGGAGTGATGTCTAGCTTTCTGTCTCTGTCTCTCTCTGTCTCTCTGGTGAGCACACATGAACTATAGCAAAAATCTCTCTGGAAAAAAAAACGATATATTGTGATTAAATGTAATATATATGTATTATAAATATATATGTACATATATATATTATAAAAGAGGATTAAATGTATGTATGCATATGAAAAAGGAGAGTGCATACCAACAACCGGGAAAGGACAATTAACAACTACATGACAACAGATTTAAGTGTGCTTTATTTAACTCTTAAAAAAGCATTGGGACCAGCAGTTGGTGTAATGGCTACGTCGCTGGACTCCCATGTAGTTGACTGTGGTTTGAGTTCCAGACCTAGTGGCTTAAACTCACACTGGTCATGTGTGCGTGCATGCCCAAGATCCTGAAAGGAGAATGGAGGAGAAAGGGATTGTGGAGTGGCCATCGCCTCTAGGGGGTAATTTCTTGCTTCCTGTCTCTCACTTTCTCTCTGTCTTTCTGGTGAGCACACGTGCCCTATAGCAAAAACATCTTCAAAAAACGACAACAAAAAACATGGATTGGAGCAAACTCCAACTGGGATTAACACTAGCAGCAGATGAACATTTGGAAGCCAGTAGTCCAGACCAAGTTGACCATTCGGTTCTGTGGAATACCTATGCTCTTCTGCCTCCAAGCCTGCTGCCTCTACTAGAAATCCTGTCCCAGCTACCTGGCCCGCTCTCTCCAGTGTGCATCCTATCATCCATTAAGGCCCATGTCAAACACCACCTTCTCCATGAATCTTTTCCTTATCCCTCATCAACCCCACTATGACTTCCCACGTCCTTCTTTGCATTCCCCCAGTACTTTCTTTACCTTCCTAAGCATTCATCTTATTCCACCAGACAAAAAAATTCTTCTGAGTATTTCTTTCCTATTAAGTTAAATGCTTATTGAACCTTGAGATAAATCATTGCAGTATGGTAATTTGCACATAACAGATAGGAACCCAGTATTTTATGAGTGAGAGGATATGTGGATAGGCCTGGTTTTTACTTTCTTTCCTAGGTATTTTTACTATAAGAGAATATGTTCTGGCAGTCACTTCTTACATAAGGAAATTGGAGGGACGTGTGTTACATATTTCCATTCTTTTCTGTGTGGATGTGCATAGAGGGCCTAATTCTTTGGGTTGGCAATTATATTCTCCCCTAAATTATTTTAAAGAATTATTTTATGGAATTTTATTTGTTTATTTATTTAAATTTGACCAGGGAGGGACAGAGTGAGAAAGGGCAAGAGAGATGGAAAGTGAGAAAGCAAGCCATGTGGGAGTCCAACACCTCTAACCACTGTACCACCCCGCCAGCCCCTTCTCCCCTAAATTTTTTGTCTGCCAATTTGAGTTAATAAGACTCTAATTTGAAGAAACCATTGAGGCAGCATACACTACAACTGGTTGTGCCATTCCACATGAATTTATATTGGGTAGTCGGAAAAGTCATGGAGTGTTTTTTGTTTTTTTCTACGCAAAAATGTGTTATGACTTTTCCAACAACCCAATAAAACCTTAGGTGTTACCTGGAACCAAGTTACGTGCTACTTCTAACTCAGAAAAAGTGAAGGTAATGTAACTGGATGGATGTTCAATGCCCTACATCAAATGATCAGTAAGCAGCTCTGTCTAAACTATAAGAGATTTGTCAGTTAAGTTCCCAAAGCAGTAATTTTTCATGGTCACTACTTCACCATGGGTATGAGTTCAATAACCCATATGGTGGGCAAACTTTCTCTGCAAAGGGCCAGATAGTAAATATTTTAGGCTCTGTGGGCCATACAATCTGTTGTATTACTCAACTCTGCCACCACAGTGGGAAGGTAGGCATGAACGATAATAGATGTGGTTATGACCCAATAAAATTCTTCTCCGGGGCTGGCAGGTGATGTAGTGGTTAAGGCACTGGATTCACATAGTCAACCATGGTTTGAGTTCCAGATGAGGTGGCTTGCTTTCTTGCTTTCCCTTTCTCTCTCTCTCTCATTCTGGTCAAATTAAAAAATAGTAATAACAAAGGGAATTAAATAAACAAATCTTTCTTTAAAAAATTCCTCAAATTAAACAGCAGGCTAGATTCGGCCTTTGGGTGGTAGTAGTTTGCCTTTCTTTTCTTTTTCTTTCTTTCTTTTTTTTTTCTTTTTCTTTTTGAGAGGTTTTTGCCATAGGGCATGTGCGCTCGCCAGAAAGACAGAGACAGAGATGAAGAAAGCGAGAAATCACCTCCCAGGGGGGATGGCCATGCCGCAATCCCTTCCCCTCCATTCTCCTCTCGGGATCTTGGGCACACACACACATGTGCCTGGTGTGAGTTTAAGCCGCCGGGTCTGGGACTTGAACCATGGTTGACTACACGGGAGTCCAGCAACATAGCCATTACGCTAACTGCTGGTCCCAGTAGTTTGTCTTTCAAGTACTAGGGTAGGACTGAAGCAGTAACAGTTTCCTTGAATTTTTTGTTTTTGTTTTTATTTTTATTCTTTCTGCAATAGGACAAATATGATCAATCAAGACAGAAAGAGACAGAGAGACAGGGAAAGTGAAAAAGCATCTCCACCACCCCCCAGGGGGAATGGCCATGCTGCAATTCCTTCTCCCCAATTCTCATCTTGAGATTTTGGGGCACACATGCACACGTGCCTGGTGTGATTTTCAAACTGCAGGGTCTGAGATTTGAACAGTGCAGTCAGCCATGTGAGATCTAGCTGCCTTAACTTCCATGTCATCTGCTGGTTGAGCTTTTTAAAGGAGGAAGGCAGTGGCAGGAATCCAAGAATCTAATCCCTAATTCTCTTAATAAGGGTCACAGAAAAAAACCTACTTCCTTTAAATGCAGTTTTGACATCAGTAACGAAGTCAGTCAACTATAAGGATGCAGGGTATGAAGAATCAGGAGCTTCAAGACTTTTGACATTAGTATCTTTATTAACATGAGATACACACAAAACAATGAAGAAACTTCTTAAAAACATCAATACCGTAGTAAAGAGTTGACCTTGGAATAACAAGTTTAAGGGATTTGATTTTGCAAATACTGGTGCAAGAGAGAGTCTTCGTATACAGGAAACATCAAGCGAAATTTAAAAACTACTTCGAAGAGGTGCAACCATAGACTAGAGAACCAAGATGGAAAAGTGAGGAAAGTGAGCGATGTATACATGCAACTGAAAAGAAATGGGGTGAAAATGAATTTAACTAAAACTCGGTGTGATCCTAATCTCAATTTTTCTTGCTTTAGAATAACTTCTCTGCCTATGCACTAAGCTTGCTACACCAGGAAAAAAAAAAAAAAAAAGGCCTTCAGATCATATGGGCAAGTTCTAATCTCAGGCATACCATACATCATTCCTATGGTACTTCTTTCTGGTAGACACATGTCCCTGAACTTGGTCCACTGTGGTTTCTATATGTCTAATCTCTACGAAATAAAAATGCTGTGAATCATTACTTTTCTGTACAAATATTAGAAGCCATGTAATTTGACACTATAACTATGTGCTACTGTGATTCTTAAAGGCTTCAAAAAACATTGAAGATACAAAAATGAAATGCTAACTACTGTTGATAATATACATGGTAATATCTACAACTTAACTAACTTAACTGTGCTGTTTTCACACTGGGAAAAAACCGTTTTGTATGCTGTAAAGATGTATAGTGACTAAGTGTAAATTCAAACATTCAGATAAGACTAGTTTAAAATCTATATTATGTTATTTGTGAATCAGATAGTATATCCTAAACTTATACGCAACAGCAGTAGTCTCATATTTCAAAATAAAATTACTACATTCATAATGTTGCAAATTAAAAAAAAAGGTTCAAATCCTTTGCAGAACAAAGCAGGGTATAAAAGGATAACTAAGATCTCTCTCTTTGCACCCAGGACTTTGAAGACTAAGAAAGGGGAGCCTGGTCCACCCCTCCCCTGGAGTGTTTAATACATTAAAGTGGATCCACATGTTTTTCAAAGAAAATGCTCTCCATCACCTATTTGCAACCTGTTTCTTCTTTTCAAAAAGTCTTTCAATAAAACAAACATTTTCCCCACTGCTCTCTTCTACCAGGGAGGGGGTAGGAGGTAGGGGGGTAAGGAGGCAGGGGAATCCACAATTCTTTTATTCCCATAATGCAATGAGACCAAAAAGTTGAGTTTATAAAATGTTGTTGTCAGCCCAATATGCAGACCTCCCCCCACAACAACCTTATGTTTCTACCTGCCTATTTTAAAAAGGCAATGTAGTATGTTTAGGCCACTCTGAATTTGCTGTTAATTTTTAACAATATATTCTCCCCTACCCTAAATGACCTGAAAGTGGCATTTGTTTAGAATGAATCAGCTTAGACGTTGATTAGTAGTGGACAGAACACTAGTTTAGGAGTCAAGAGACACAGGTTCCTAGTACTATTTCTGCGAGTATGTCATTCTGGAAATTTATGGTTCTCAGTTTCCTTAAACAAGCAGGCTACCTCAGGTCTCTGAGTCTCTTTCTAACAGTCTATGATGTTGTGAATGACAACTATCAATTAGTTGATAAAAACAAAAGGTGGGAAGCAAAGTTAATAATAGAAGTAGTCAGTGAATTTTTCAGACATTTTTACAATATCTAAAAATCTTTATGATACTGGGATATGAGAGCCAATATCTCATTTTAAAACTCTATTTTAAGAAATACACACTTTAGTCATGATAAACCTTCGGATTGCAGGAAATACATTAATCACTATTTAGTGCAGTGTTTGGGGATTTTTTTTTTCATTATCAGTCCCTAAAGAGCCTTTTTTTTTTTTTTTTTTTTTTTTTTTTTTGGGGTTTTTTTTTCTATGGGGGATGCTGGCGCATGCGCGTGCTTGCCAGACAGACAGAGAGAGGCATAGAGACAGAAAGCGAGAAATCACCCCCCAGGGGGGATGGCCACGCCGCAATCCCTTCTCCTCGATTCTCCTCTCGGGATCTTGGGCACGCATGCACATGCCCCCAGCGTGAGTTTCAAGCCACCCGGTCCGGGACGCGAACCACGGTGAACTACGTGGAGTCCAGCGACATACCCATTACGCTAACTGCTGGTTCCCCCTAAAGAGCCTTTTCAGACTTCTTTTTTTTTTTTTAAACTTGCTCCCCTCCATGAAATTTTTATAGCACAGACGTACTATACATGTATTCGTCTACTGTGTTGTATACGTTAAGAGAGTAAACTTTTTTCACGCCCCAGCCAAGAGCCAGTTTTTTTCCCCCTACATGGCTATATCACCCATTGAGACAGTGTAACCTGGGAAATCAAGCTTCTGTGGTACCTAAAACTTTTTGCTTATATAAAACCTAGGTGTTAAAAAAAGGCGGCCTTCACTTATTTGACAACCATTTCCATCTCAAGTGTGCTGAAGGTGAAGGTCAAGGGAGACAAACAAAGCAGTTGAGAGAAAAGGCACAAATTGCCATCATGGCAGAAGATGTGGAGGTGAGGGGGAGGCTGCTGTTTCTTCAAAGGGACGGACAAGAGATGGGGTGAAGGTAGACAAAAGTCGCGCTCCACATGAATGTTGGTTTTCGGGTCCAGGTGGACTGTCAGAAGAGGACGTTCACGTTCAGATGTGTATCCACCTCTGGGTGGGTGTGTGCTCTCCACTCAGGTCATCCCACCCACTCCCCCCAGGCAGGCATAAGGTGGGATCTCCGGACACCGGGAACAAGGGAGACACCTGCAGAACCTCAATAAATGAAAGGAAGGCAACGCTATCGGAAGACATATGCTCCAACACCTCCCCCTCCCACGCACACGCACACACGAACACACTCGATCATCTCCTCCAGTATCTCAACCCTGCTCACTTGGTCTCTGGGGCACCTCTGGGTCTTCTCAGGAACCCCAGTGCGGCTTCCATGTTCTCCTGCGCCATGTTGGTGTAGAGCAAGAAGCTGCTTTGTTCGAAGTTTTCAAGATATTCTAGCCACCGTTTCACATAAGGACGTGTCGACGACGCGGTGGAGAGATGATGCCGAGAGCAAAGGGGAAAAAGAGAAGAGAAAGCTCTTAGTGGAGGTGCTCACCCTTGTGCCCCGGCATTCTTAACATCAGCGGGCACAAAGTTGGGCAAGAAGGGCTCTAAACCTCCTTTCCCTCATGTTTGGGGTCCCAAAGGCTGGGAAGCCTGCCCTCCCCATCCCCAAGCCCATCATGAAAATGGGGAATTTATTTATTATAGCTTACCACAGGGAACTCTTCCCTTTGATCTCACTCACCCTTGGCAACTTCCGGGAAAGCTTTTCCCTCAAAAAACACAACCCGCCGCTTTTGAAAACCGGCTGGCTCCCCCCCTTTGCGCATGCGCCCCGCATCCA